CAGGGTCATCTATTGAGTGGTTCCGATGACTCCCAAATATGCTTGTGGGACATCAATGCAACTCCAAGGAATAAGACTCTTGACGCAATGCAAATTTTTAAGGTATATACTGATAAAGAAACGTTTAGAATTCCTCTTGATTGTGTTACTTTTTTCAGTATACAGTAAATATTGTCTCTCGGGTTGTTCTTGATATTCTTACCTTGAAATATTATGGTTTCTTCGACAATCATCTAATAATTCAGATTTGTAGATTCATGAAGGCGTCGTAGAAGATGTAGCATGGCATCTTAGGCATGAGTACTTGTTTGGCTCAGCTGGGGATGATCAGTATCTGCACATATGGGATCTCCGTACTCCATCAGGCAGCAAGCCTATTCAATCTGTAGTTGCTCATCAAAGTGAGGTGGGTCTCAGTTGTAATTCGCATATTCGTTGAGGTGAAATGGACTGTTTTTATTGTTATATCTTTGTTCTCTGTCTGCAACTTCCAATTTTCTACTATAAAATACAAACCTGTATATGTTAACAGCAGAAGAATTCATTTATTTTTTTGGCCAGTCACTGCAACTGATCAATCATGTAGGCGCTTACAGGAGCCAAAAGTTTATCTGGCGCATATTATGTCACCCTAACTTTATTTATCTGGTCAGCATAATGTTCCCCATAGGCATAATATTTCCTTTTTATGCTTCAGCTAAAAAACTCGTACTGGAGGAAGCCATGTATCCCTTAAACCTTGAAATTTAACCAATATCTCTAAACATCTTTATTCCTGTGATGTATTGGATTTTGACCTTGTACTTTCCAGTACATGATTCTACTTCCTAATATTCGTACTCCACATTTTTGTAATATTGTTGGCTAGTGTTTAAATCATAAAATGTGTATTACTTGCAGAATATATTTATTTGATTAATCTGTTGGTAGGTGAATTGTTTGTCTTTCAATCCTTTCAATGAGTGGGTTGTAGCAACGGGGTCAACCGACAAGACTGTTAAATTATTCGATCTGCGCAAGATTTCAACAGCACTCCATACCTTCGATTGTCACAAGTAAGAGATATTTCTTGGTTTTGGTTTCTATTGAAATTATTTAAAATTTCAGAAGTCTATGGAGTATGAAATCTTGTGATTTGTGTATGCTTTAAAAAGTTATAGGCATGAATTGAAATATTGGTCCCGTACTGTTTAACTCATTCCCGTGATTGCACAACAGGGAGGAGGTTTTCCAGGTTGGATGGAATCCAAAGAACGAGACCATCTTAGCTTCTTGTTGTCTTGGTAGGCGACTCATGGTGTGGGATCTGAGCAGGTACCCAATAATAGAGGCAGTACTTTGGGTCATATTGAATCCTCTTGTAGTATTTTTGATGCACTGGGGTATTTTTAGTTTTAAAGCTTTTTATGGAAAACTCGTTCCCTTGCAATAATTTACCAAAAACACTTTTTTAGTTCTGAGCTTTTAAATTTGAACCTGTACCAATATTTCTTGCTGTAGGGAGTTCCTTTCTGGTTTCATAGCCAATTGAATATTAGTTCTGGGGAATGAAGTCAACCTATCTCTCCCTAGTCCCTACTCCAATCTGAACTCGAATGCTCAACAGTAGAAAGTTCAATGTCAATTTGATATTCCAATTCTCTTCTATTCTCTTAAGATTTTGCATCCCATCCGTGGCATTTCCTTTTCCTTTATATGTAGACTCGTCTTCTCTTATTTTTCTTTTACCGATCGTAATATCTTTGGTTTATTTTTTAAAATCCTCAAGTCTCTGCAATTTGAAAACAGCTCCATAAAGCTTTCAAGTTCATTATCCTTTGTATGCACTCATACGCACATTTTAAGAGCTATACTGTATATTAATTCCTCCCCATTCGAAGCACTGGTTTGGTTTGATATTACTCAACATATGCATTTTACAGTAACACGACCTATATGTAACTCGTATTTCCCTTTTGCAGGATTGATGCAGAACAGACGCCAGAGGATGCTGAAGATGGGCCACCAGAGTTGCTTTTTATTCATGGTGGACACACAAGTAAAATATCAGACTTCTCGTGGAACCCTTGTGAAGATTGGGTTGTTGCAAGTGTAGCTGAGGATAACATACTACAAATCTGGCAGATGGCTGAGAATATTTATCATGATGAAGATGATCTACCCGGAGACGATTCTACTAGAGGAACCTAATGTTTATTTTCTCATTTAGATACAGTATGAGAGAAGCCATTGTATGATCAGATAGAGTAGTATGTATTTGGGGTTGTTGAGTCAAATTTCTTCTGTAGAGATGTATTATTATGTTTTATGTTTTATGTTTTGAGCTTTGATTATAACGAATGCGATTGTTGATTTAGGGAAATGTTTATTACTTAGCATGTTTGATAAATATGCAAATGGGTGTCTACATAAATAAAATTTGTTACATTTTGTATTGTATAGACCAGCAGGACCTAACTTACGCAACTTAAATTCGTTAAATACAGAAAGTGATGCTTTATCGTCTTATATCTACCTCAGGTCACATCAATAACCTTCCTCTTCACCTTGCGGCGTGCATTTTTGAGAAATGATAAATATAAGTTAATATATATAATGACTCTGAGTCTTATATTCAAGTTGTTATAACATGCGTACTATTTATTTTGTGAGAGATTAAATCTATTTGATTTCTCATGATTTTCCATCACATTCTCAAAATTCAAACCAAAGACTTCTATATTAAGTCTCTTATAACATAGAAGTATGAGATTTGAATCTTTGAAGACTTGACATAAAGTCGTTAGGGATAAGATATGCTCCTATATTTAGTGTTGGACATGGTTCGGTTCTAACGAGAATCAAATCGAATCGGATCCGAAATTCTCAAGTATTTAGTAAGTGGAACCGTCGGGTCCAAATTTAATTATAGAATCGTTCGGGCTCGGCTCCAGTTAATTCTGTTCGGTTTCCAGGTTCTATAGTATAATTAAATTTTTTAATGTTTACAAAATTACATTAATTTAACTAATGATATGTTTAATTTTAATTCTTATAAAATAATGTAGTCAAATTTTATGTGTCTTTTACGTATCTTTTTGCTAGTTTTTCATAGATTTGATTGTTAAAATCACATGTAGATGAAGATAGCGAGTTCAAAATAATTAAGATAATCATTGTCGAGTTGAAAATGGCAATTTCTCCAAAACAGTAGAAATGACAATGCAGTAGAGTAACAGATTTGAATAAAACTCAAGTCAATTTGATTAAGTTGAAAATCATATTTTTGGGTTCAAGCAAAATTAACTAGTTAGCAAATTTATTTTAAAAAATAAAATAATTTGGCTTATTTAAAATAAATTAATTAAGAAAAATTAGGAAGATTCGATTTTTGACCTAGAATCGAGAATCGAACCAAACCCGTTAGTTCTCAATTCTGATATTCATTCGAATATTTAACTTAAAAAGAATCACTCAATTTGATAGTTTTGTCCAGTCATACCTATATTGGACAAGATGTGTATTTTTTTGTAATGATTTAGGCCTTGTCTCAAACCATTAATTGTTATATCATAGTACTAGTGATGGCAAAAATTTTCGCCCCCTCCCAACGGTTGGTTAGTAGGACATAACTCTCCCACGTGGCGGGGCACGGATGTCCCGCGTCGAATTAGCCTCGTGAAGAGGAAAAATAAAATAAAAGAATAAATAAATAAATAAACGGGTGGCAAACGAAACAAGCCCCAGCCTCGTGCCTTGTCTAAGGCAGGGCACCCCACCTCGAACCCATCACTACATAGTACCATTCGTCTTAGGGGAGGCTGATCTCATTTTACTCCTTACGACTTTATGTTGCGTTTCATAGGATTCGAATCCGATATCTTTACGTTATGAGAGACTTAAATAGAATTTTAGGATGCGTGACTAAAAACATAAGACAAGCTCAAATTTTTCTGAAACGAATAGTACGTATGATAAAGCGATTTGAACACGAGGTTAGAATCTAAACGAATATATTGAACTGAAATCATTATTAGATATAAGTTGTATTAAATAATTCCACGGTTTGTCACCTGCACTGATGCATCAGCATCGCCCAATTTCTAGCGAGTTGAGTTGTTTCAATCTCTCTTTCTTATAGCACGTTAACGGTTGAACTATACTTTTTTTTCATCCCACAACGTGAACTAACCAAACCAATTAAACCTCACAACTTTCTCTCTCCTCCTTTAGCTTACTTAAATAGACAATTTATTTTAAAATATTTTTATTTTCTTCAAAGGAACTGTTTGTTTGAACCAAGACGAAAATAAAATAAGCTACTAATTATATACATAAATTCATTTTTTTTTGTACAAAATGTATATCAGTAAAAAAAATTGCAATAATTATAAAAACCAATTATAAGTTCAAAATTATTTTATGCCCTGTTTGGCATAGCTTAATATCTTTCTAAAAATTTATGTCAAATTTAACCAATTTTAACCTTATTTTTGAAGGAATTAACAAATTTTCAATTACACATTTCATTTACTTTTATTAAAATCTAATAAAAAAAATTTTGATTTTTAGTTACAGCAAACAAGGGCTATGAATAAAATTTTTACTTGTAAGCAAAAATTCACTTATATTTAAAAATATATTTATTTATTAAAATTCAAACATGAGTAAAAAGTATCTTTATAACTAAAAATAACTTATAATACAATTTTTTTTTTTAAAAATTTGCTTCTAACTAAAAACTCACATATAAATATAGAAAGTCAATTATATTTTAAAAAATTCACTTGTAAGTAAAAAAAAAAAAAAAAGAAAAAAAAAGTTAGATATAAGATAAAATTGTTTTAATTATAAGTAAAACGTTAATTATAAGTTAATATGTAAGCACATTATTTATAAGTAAAATTTTTACTTATGAGTGAAAAAATTCAATGTTCCAAAATGTTGAATGGTCATTAGTGAATTAACCTCCACAAACAAGATATTCTCCATTTATTGGCGTCATCAAAAGGAAGATTCTTATGAATCTTTTGTAGCATTTTTCCTCTCCATAGCCATTTATATTTCGAGCCCTAACTTTCTCTCTCTCTAAAAAGATTTAAAAATTCTCTCCACAGAAAGAATTCCTTCGAGCTTCTCTGGTAAGATACTATTAAGCATTTCTTGAGGATAATTTTGTTATTAATTGTTTTATTTTGTGGATTTTGTTTTATTTTTTTTTGTCTCGGGATCTCAGATGAATTGGATGTCAGCGTCATGTGAGTTGATGGTTTTATAATTATAAATAAATTAACCATTTTGTTGTTGCTTCAATCAAGCTTTGTATAATTTGCATTAGTTAATTCACTTCCTATCTGTCTCCATGCGTGATTCCTTCCTTGTACCACGTTGTTGCGTGCTTTCGTTGCCCAGATCGCTCTGTATTATATACTATGTGAAAGTTGAATTTTTGATGTATATATAAATTGTGTGGGTGCATCTTGGTCCTCTGCAAATAATTCATCTTTCGGGATACAGATTTGCTTTGCTCGACACACTAGGTGGATTTTTTTCTCTTCTTTATTGGTAAATTTTATTCTAATTTCTGAAAGTGATGGTTAAATTTTGCATTTGGCTTCTTTTACCGAATTGTTTGGATTTTATTAATTTGTTATAATCTGAGTTTAGATTTGGTGGGATTATGTTTAGATAATTATCCAGAACTTCATTGCGTTGAATTTTTGATCTTGCTGTTTTTGGGAAGCTAATGTTTTATGTATTTAAGGTGCTTCATTTCTGAATTTCATCACTACTTAATCTAGTTTTACTTGTAGCTATTCAAATTGATAACAGTCTTCTGGTGATTCATCAATTTTCTTTCCCTGGTAACTGTGAGTCATTGACCATGAGCGATCTTTGATGAAATTTCGAAATTTCGGAATTTGGGGTAATCAAAATTCTGTTCGTGATTGTTTATGGAAATGACACCAAAAAATAATTGAAAACAGAGGGGGAATTGCATCGAATATGAGCTAAAGTTCAATATTTTCAATTTTGATGCTTTAATTGTACATATAATGCATCTCAATTTTCGAGCATACCTTTGGATGCTGATATTGGTTTGGAAAAGTTCAGAAAATATGTGATCTGTTATCTGCTACACACAGATGTTCTGCAATTAATTTCCTGAACACTATTTTTGTTTCATTGACCTTTCACTTGCGGATCTACTGATGAATAATATTATTAGAAAGTTTTTATCTGATGTTAGGTTTTCTTTTTTTTTTTTTCTGGGAAATTGTCCTTTGACCTGCCTTTATTTTGCTGTGGAGAGAACTAAAAGGATTTCTTTATTTTTGCTCCCACTATAATAGATTGTCGTTTTCAAAATACTATTGACAACTTACATTTGTGTGTTTTTGCCTGTCCTTTTTTTCATTTGATTAATGTTTCTTATGGAATGGAAATGATTTTCAGTAAATATATGTAGATGCTCTTCTTAATTTTCTTTATTAAGTTTTCTGCACCAATTGCTGATCCATCTTATTAAAAATTCCTGATTATTTCGTCAACTTTATTAGGAAATGGCAAAAGGTATCAGAGGAAGACGCAGAATTGCTTCACGAAAGTACAGGCCAACACCATATCCCTTGCCGGCTTCTAGTAGAACGGAGGTAATGCAGCAAAAGAAGTGCTCAAAAATATTCGAGAAGAAGGACTGGAAAGATGCAACTTGTTCTGTGTGCATGGAGTGTCCCCACAATGCTGTTCTTCTCTTGTGTTCTTCACATGACAAAGGTTGCCGACCTTACATGTGCGGGACCAGCTTCCGTTATTCCAACTGCCTTGACCAGTACAAGAAGGCCTATATGAAAGTAACCTCGTCAGAAACCCATCCACCTACTCGTGGTTTACTTAACAGTCAAGCTACGGGCCAATTTTCTAGTTGGCCTGTTGAGAATTGTGAGGTACTAAAGATTGCATGTCCCCTTTGTCGGGGACAGGTGAAGGGCTGGACTGTTGTGGAGCCTGCACGAGAATATCTCAATGCTAAGAAACGAAGCTGCACACAGGATAACTGCTCATTTGTTGGAACATTCAAGGAGCTGCGGAAACATGTGAAGGCAGAGCACCCTTCTGCTAGGCCACGTGAAGTGGATCCTGTTCTAGAACAGAAGTGGAGAAGTCTGGAGCGTGAGCGGGAGACAGAAGATGTAATGAGCACAATAAGGTCATCAATGCCAGGAGCAGTTTTTTTCGGGGATTACGTAATTGAAGGAAGTCACTATGGTTTTGATTCTGATGAAGAGGATTTTGATGCAGATGCTATGGAGCGGAATGAGGGGTTTGAACCAGGGATTGATCGCAACTTGATGAACGTCTTTCTCTTTCTGCAGGCATTTGGTTCTGCAGGGACACAGAGAGGTATGAGGCGACATGAGAGAGACTCCAACCATACATTGGATAGAGATCACTCTCGTCAAAGTAGTGATAGGGACGAGGACGATGACCATGGTGGTACATCACTGGCTACCCGTCTACGTCGTCAAGGAAGAATTGTTATGGGGAGTTCTAGGAGGAGGAGAAGGCATGGAGAGGCTCATTGAGGCCTGAGATAGAATTTAATGGTGTTAAAACAAGTTCAGGGTGGCGTATAAATTTCTAGGTTTTAGTCCATTGGCAGAAAAGATTTTAATTTATCATTTGCTTGCACATTTACTTCTCACATACATTCCATAATGGGTTCCATGATAGGATAGCCCAAAACTGTGGAGGGTCAAACAGAAACTAGTTTGGTGTAAATTTTTATTTGTAACTTTCCTGATTAACTTGTTACA